TCCCCCCCCCCCCCCCCCCCCCCCCCCAACCCCACCAGCATTCAAATTTGGGTGAATCGGGTATTTGTGCCAAATTTGGTCCAGTGAATAAAAATACATCCTGCAGGTCAGATATTTACATTATGATTCATAACGGTAGCAAAATTGCAGTTACGAAGTAGCCACAAAAATAATGTTATGGTTGGGGGTAACCACAACATGAGGAACTGTGTTAAGGGGTCACGGCGTTAGGAAGGTTGAGAACCACTGGTCTATACCTTTTCTTTCTGACACCAAAACGTAATATTCTCCGCTTCACCCATTACGGATTCCTTTGCACCTTCCTTTGACCCTCTGCCTTCCTTCCATTCTCTAAGCTTCAAGATGATCATCTTTCTTATGATCATCTTTATGACAGCCTTTACCTCTGTTTATGTATTGTCTGTCCTTGTAAATTCTATAACGGCATCAAATGTTGGCCGTATATGTGTTCTGTAATTTGCCTCAAGTACTCTTCAGGAAGAGAGAGCGGAATATAAATAAAGTTTATGTATCCTTCCAATAATAATAAATAGAGTAAAATAATAAACATAATTATAGCAATAATAATAGAGTAAAATATTAAAATGTAGTAATAACAACAGAGTAAAAAGTAAATGTAGTTACAATAACAAAGTAAAATAATAAATGTAATAACAATAGAGTAAAATAAATGACAATAGAGTAAAATGATAAATGTAATAACAAGAACAAAGTAAAATAATAAATGTAATAATTATAGAGTAAAATAAATAATAGACTAAAATAAATAATAATGAAATAATAATAGAGTAAAAATAAATGTAATAACAATAACAAAGTAAAATAATGAATGTAATAATAATAGTGTAAAATAAACAACAATAGAGTAAAATAATAAATGTAACAACAATAGAGTAAAATAATAAATGTAATAGCAACAACAAAGTAAAATAATAAATGTAATAATAATAGAGTAAAATAAATAATAGATTAAAACAATAAATGTAATAATCTCAGGGGCTCACATGTCTTTACACTAATGCACAGAGCATGGGAAATAAACAAGACGAACTCCAACTTTTAGCACAACACCACAAATATGATATCATAGGGATCACTGAAACCTGGTGGGATGACTCCTATCGCTGGAATGTAGATATCGAGGGGTATAACCTCTTTCACAGAAACCGAACAAAGGGGAGAGGAGGCGGAGTAGCCTTATATGTCAAAAACTCTTATGCTGCAGAAGAGATTCAAGACAGCAATCTGGGAAACCAGCTTGAAATCATCTGGATAAGAATCAAGGGAACTGGGACTCAAAAAGATGTCGTTGTAGGAGTCTACTACAGACCCCCAAGCCAGGAGGAAGAACTTGATGAAGTCTTCTGCCAACAGTTGACCAAACAGGCACAGAGAAGAGATGTAGTAGTCATGGGCGATTTCAACTATCCCGATATTTGCTGGAAAACAAACTCGGCCAAGAGTACAAGGTCCAACAAATTCCTCGCTTGCCTTGCAGACAATTTCATGGTCCAAAAGGTAGAAGAGGCAACAAGGGGATTGGCTACTCTTGATCTCATCCTAACAAATGTGGAGGACCTGATCGATGCGGTCGAAGTGGTAGGATCCTTAGGGGCAAGTGACCATGTGCTCCTGCAATTTGAGGTACAAAGGAAGGCCGAAACTAAGACAAGTCAAACCCGCATTTTGGACTTTGGGAGAGCTGATTTCCAAAAAATGAAGGAAACGCTGAGCAGCATTCCGTGGACACAGATACTAAAAGACAAGGGAGTTACGGATGGATGGGAATTTCTCAAGAGTGAAATACTCAAGGCGCAATTGCAAACTGTGCCAACAAAGAGAAAAAATAGGACAAGTGCAAAGAAGCCAGAATGGATGTCCAAAGAACTTCTAACTGTGCTAAGACACAAAAGAGACATGCACAAGAAGTGGAAAAAGGGAGAAATCACCAAAGAAGAATTCAAACAAATAGCCAACACCTGTAGGGAAAAGGTCCGCAAGGCTAAAGCAAAAAACTAGCTCAGACTTGCCAGGGACATTAAAAACAATAAAAAGGGCTTCTATTCTTATGTCAGTAGAAAAAGGAAAAACAAGGAGGCGATAGGACCTCTTCGAGGAGAAGATGGGGCAATGCTGACAGGGGATAGGGAAAAGGCAGAACTACTTAATGCCTTCTTTGCCTCGGTCTTCTCACCAAAAGAGAGTCTTCAACCTCAGCAAGATGGAGTGGATGAGGGATTGGAGGACATCCAACCCCAAATTGGGAAAGAAGTCGTCCAGGAATACCTGGCCGCTCTTAATGAGTTCAAGTCCCCAGGGCCAGATCAACTACACCCCAGAGTATTGAAGGAACTAGCGGAAGTCATTTCGGAACCATTGGCAACCATCTTTGAGAGTTCTTGGAGAACGGGAGAAGTTCCAGCAGATTGGAGGAGGGCCAATGTGGTCCCAATCTTCAAGAAGGGAAAAAAGGATGACCCAAACAACTACCGTCCGGTCAACCTCACGTCGATACCGGGCAAGATTCTGGAAAAGATTGTTAAGGAAGCGGTCTGCAAACACTTAGAAACAAATGCAGTCATCGCTAATAGTCAACATGGATTTATCAAAAACAAGTCATGCCAGACTCATCTGATCTCTTTCTTCAATAGAGCTACAAGCTGGGTAGATGCGGGGAATGCCGTGGATGGAGCGTACCTGGATTTCAGGAAGGCCTTCGACAAGGTCCCCCATGACCTTCTGGCAAGGAAACTAGTCCAATGTGGGCTAGGCAAAACTACGGTGAGGTGGATCTGTAATTGGTTAAGTGGACGAACATAGAGAGTGCTCACTAATGCTTCCTCTTCATCTTGGAAAGAAGTGACAAGTGGAGTGCCACAAGCAGGGTTCCGTCCTGGGCCCGGTCCTGTTCAACATCTTTATTAATGACTTAGATGAAGGGCTAGAAGGCAGGATCATCAAGTTTGCAGACGACACCAAATTGGGAGGGATAGCCAATACTCCAGAGGACAGGAGCAGAATTCAAAACGATCTTGACAGATTAGAGAGATGGGCCAAAACTAACAAAATGAAGTTCAACAGTGACAATGTAAGATACTCCACTTTAGGCAGAAAAAATGAAATGCAAAGATACAGAATGGGGGACAATGCCTGGCTTGAGAGCAGTACGTGTGAAAAAGATCTTGGAGTCCTCGTGGACAACAAGTTAAACATGAGCCAACAATGTGATGTGGCGGCAAAAAAAGCCAATGGGATTTTGGCCTGCATCAATAGGAGCCTAGTGTCTAGATCTAAGGAAGTCCTGCTCCCCATGCTCTATTCTGCTTTGGTTAGACCACATCTGGAATATTGTGTCCAATTCTGGGCACCACAATTCAAGAGAGATATTGACAAGCTGGAATGTGTCCAGAGGAGGGCGACTAAAATGATCAAGGGTCTGGAGAACAAGCCCTATGAGGAGCGGCTTAGGCAACTGGGCATGTTTAGCCTGAAGAAGAGAAGGCTGAGAGGAGATATGATAGCCATGTATAAATATGTGAGAGGAAGCCACAGGGAGGAGGGAGCAAGCTTGTTTTCTGCTTCCTTGGAGACTAGGACGCGGACCAACAATGGCTTCAAACTACAAGAGGAGATTCCATCTGAACATGAGGAAGAACTTCCTGACTGTGAGAGCCGTTCAGCAGTGGAACTCTCTGCCCCGGAGTGTGGTGGAGGCTCCTTCTTTGGAAGCTTTTAAACAGAGGCTGGATGGCCATCTGTCAGGGGTGATTTGAATGCAATATTCCTGCTTCTTGGCATAATGGGGTTGGACTGGATGGCCCAGGAGGTCTCTTCCAACTCTTTGATTCTATGATTCTATGATTCTATAATAACAGTAATAATAGAGTAAAATATTAAAATGTAGTAATAACAATAGAGTAAAAATAAATGCAATAACAATAACAAAGTAAAATAATGAATGTAATAATAATAGAGTAAAATAAACAATAGAGTAAAATAATAAATGTAATAATAATAGAGTAAAATAAATAATAACAATACATAAAATAATAAAATGTAATAATAACAATAGAATAAATAATATATTAATAAAAATAAAGTAAAATAATAAATGTAATAATAATAAATAGAGTAAAAAAACAATAGAGTAAAATAGCAATATTAGAATAATAGAGAAAAATAATAAATGTAATAATAACAATAGGGAAAAATAATAAATGTAACAAAATAATAATAGGTAAAGGTAAAGGTTTTCCCCTGACATTAAGTCCGGTTGTGTCCGACTCTGGAGTGTGGTGCTCATCTCTATTTCTAAGCTGAAGAGCCAGTGTTGTCTGTAGACACCTCCAAGGTCATGTGGCTGGCATGACTGCATGGAACGGCGTTACCTTCCTGCCAAAGCGGTACCTATTGATCGACTCACATTTGCATGTTTTCGAACTGCTAGGTTGGCAGAAGCTGGGGCTGACAGTGGAAGCTCACACCGCTCCTCGGATTTGAACCTGCGACCTTTCGGTCAACAAGCTCAACAGCTCAGTGCTTTAACCCACTACGTGTCGTAAAATAATAATAAAGTACTGTAAATGTAATAGTAATAGTAATAATAATAATAATAATAATAATAATAATAATAAAGTAAAATAATACATGTAATAAAAATAATAATAATACCAGTAAAATAATAAATAACTTTGACTTGAGTATATACAGTATGTAATCTATGGCTCATTTTCAATTCTTTTCTCACCAGGAACACTGGACTTGTGATATTCATTACAATTTAACTTCCCTATCACTATGGTTCTTAAATGACTTACATGTTTCTGTGTTCATGCAAAGAGAAATCCTGCTACATATCAACACCTTTGAAAGATTATACTGGCCCCCAAAGTGGGGTCCAAGAAGGGAAGGTCCCTCAGACTTTGTGCAGACTTCAAAGTAGTAACCCCCCCCCCCCCAAGGCTCAGTGGAATTGTCACCTCTATACTGAAGTAGCCTCTGTCCACGTAGTCTCCCAGGAAGAGGTAGCGAGTGTTATTGGGTGATCCTCCGACTTCAAACAACTTCATCAGGTCAAAGAATTGCCCATGAATGTCACCACACACTGGAGAGAAAAAAGGAAGGACAGGATTACTTGCGAAGAAGAGAAAAGTCATAGAACTAACAGGGAGCGGGGTTTTGCATCCGCTTCCCTTGTCATATTGCACTCGGCTCATGTACTAAAGCTGCCCAGGCACAAATGAAGACACCTTCCCCATGGAAGTTGCCAGAACTTGGTGATTCTGAGCACTTCCCAAAGGAAAGGAGACGTAAGAGGAAACCTTCTGGTTTGGGCAGGTGAGCTTCATTCAGGAGGCCAAACTGTGATAGGAAATGCGCTCTGACCTGTGATTGGAGCCTCGACTTCAATCATTGTCTTTTCATGCCGCAGAATGGCAGCGCCATCGTTGATGATCTTGAGTGCCGCATCTTCTTCCAAGCGCCCTTCTTTCACCAAGTGGTTTTTTAAGACCTCCAACCGGGGTTTCCCGTCCTCAAAGACTTCTTTCAGGGTGAGCCGCTGGGTAGGGGGAAAGGGGACGGCTGGAGAAAGAGGAGAAAGAAACATTAGGCCAGGCCCCAGAGGAAGCAAGCACCTTGACCATTTCGCTGGCATTCACTTCACTTCACTTCTTAATTCGTCGCTCTCCACCCAGGTGCTCCGAGCGACTTACAGTCTAAAATAGCATTTACACAATATAAAAACATTCAACATAAAAACATTCAACAGTGACTATTTGGCAAATTAGATCCGGTTACTTAAATGCACAACCTAACAGCCAAGTCCTGAGTGCCTTCACAAGAGATTGCAACTCTGATATTGCTCTAACGTATGGAGGCAACGAGTTCCACAGAATTGGAGCATAGGTCGAAAAAGCTCTACTTCGCCTTGTAGCTTCCAGGTGTCCCTCCCTCCCTCGGGCCCGGTATGTAGAGGAGATTTTCCTGGGTGGATCGAGGTGACCACAGATGGAGAAAAGGAATGAGGCGGTCCCTAAGATACAAAGGTCCTTGGCCATTTTGAGCTCTCAATGTCAGGATCAGTCTCTTGTAAGAGATCCGATGTTCTATTGGGAGCCAGTGCAGTTGTTGCAGAATCGGTGTCATATGGGATCTTAGAGATGATCCCGCTAGCAGCCTGGCTGCCGCATTTTGGACCATCCGAATCTTCTGGGTTGTTGACTTCGGAAGGCCGGCAGATAAGGCATTGCAATAGTCCAACCTCGTGGTGACTGTTGACCGTTGCCAATGCTTCTACCGAAAGGTAGGATGCCAATTTCCTTGCCTGGTGAAGATGAGAAAAGGCCTGCTTCCTTATGGCAGTGATCTGGGCCTCCATCATCAGCAAGGAGTCCAACACAACCCCTTTAAGGCTTTGAACAGGGGCAGACGGAACCAGAGCTTCCCCACTGAAATCAGGCAGAGGCTGGATTAGTTCTGGCGGCTGGCCGGGCCAGAGGATCTCCATTGCCTGGATCAATCAGAGGGAAGCGGTTAGGTCAGCGTTTCTCAACTTGGGGGTTGGAACCCTGGGGGGGGGGTCACGAGGGGGGTTCAGAGGGGTCACCAAAGATCATCAGAAAACATCTTTCTCATGGTCTTAGGAGCCCCTTCAGTAAAGAAGGCTGAAGATCTCTCCGCCTCTCCTTCCCTTCTTTTTTGGAAACAGATGGCAAATCCTTCCACCAAAGGACCTCCTCCTCTGTAATTGGCTGACCTCTCAGCTGGCCTCTCAGCCAAGGGGAGGGCTGTTTCAGAGACTAAAAGCAAGGAGTGGGAGAAGAAGTGTGCTCGGCGCATGGCAGCATGGTGCGCATGTGAGGACAAGGAAGAACATTGTGAGGCTGGAGGGAGGCTCGTACCAGCAAGACCCTTAAAGGCATGGGGGTCCTCTGTGGGAAGTTTGGCCCAATTCTATTGTTGGTGGGGTTCAGAATGCTCTTTGATTGTAGGTGAACTATAAAACTCAGGAACTACAACAACCAAATGTCAAGGTCCATTTCCCCCAAACTCTACCAGTATTCACATTTGGACATATTGAGTAACCGTGCCAAGTTTAATAATAAAAATAATAATATGATAATAAAACTTTATTTATACCCCGCCACCATCTCCCCAAAGGGACTCGGGGCAGCTTACATGAGGCCAAGCCTGTTAAATACAAATACAACAATACATCAACAAACAAGCAAGCAAATAAAGCAATAAAAATAATACAATTGAACATATAAGCAATAACACACAAAAAAAGATGTACATTAAAATTTTAAAACTCTGGGCGTGTACAGAGTAGGCTATGTCTAGGCATGGGGTTTTTAAAAAGCGATATGGGGGGATCAATCCAATTGATAGATAAAATGCTTCAGAGGACGTATAGAAGGAAACATATATACACACACAGAACACATATATTTACTTATTTATTTACGGCATTTATATGCCACCCTTCTCACCCCAAAGGGGACACAGAGTGGCTCACAAGATATATATGCATACAATATATTATATTATTAGGATAGTACAATATTAGTATTAATTATTATTATATTCTGGTCGCTTCGTGCAGCAACACCAGAGGCACTCCAAGTGGCCAGCAACTGGTCAAAGGACATGTAATAGAATACCAAGTCTGCAAACTTTATGTTTTGTTTGTTTGTTTTTAATGCAGTACAGCTGTTTTGGTTCGCTCCTGACACGATAAATAAATTACTATATTATACTATACCATTATATTGTAATATTATTAGTAATATTACATGCAATATAAATATATAATTATAATATAGTAATATTAGTAGTAGTATATTGTATTACATTATAATATTATAATGTATAATATATACACAGACTGGGCCACAACAACGCGTGACAGGGGACGGCTAGTTAAATCTATATAAATAAAAATGTAATGTTCGTTTGTGGGATTAATATAGCTCGTAAACCACCGGATGATTTGACTCCAAATTTGGACACAAGACACCTATCAGGCCAACGAGTGACCATCACTCATAAAAACACTGAAAAACACAGTGGAAGAGATTTGTACCTGCTCCCAACAGACAAGAGTCCTTTCTCCCACCCTGGACATCATTTCACAGATATATAAACCCCTTCTGGCTAGTTTCCAACAGACCTCACAAGTTCTGAGGATGCCTGCCATAGATGCTTCTGGAGCATGGCCATACAGCCCAGAAAACTCACAGCAACCTATATATGTGGTGTTTGTGTGTGTGTGTGTACATCATTCTGATATTTAAATGCCCCCAAAGTTTTTTCTCCATTCTAATTATCAAACATCTCATTAAATTTGGTGAGACTTCCCTAGTGTCGTGCCCTATATAGTCCAACAGAGAAAATAACCTCAACTTGCTAAAATAGCATATAAATACTAATTTTCGTGTTGATGTTCAAGCTAAACCCACAAACTGCATTGTGTACTTCTTTGTTGTTCATTCGTTCAGTCGTCTCCGACTCTTTGTGACCTCATGGACCAGCCCACGCCAGAGCTCCCTGTCGGCTGTCACCACCCCCAGCTCCTTCAAGGTCAGTCCAGTCCCTTCAAGGATGCCATCCATCCATCTTGCCCTTGGTCGGCCCCTCTTCCTTTTGCCTTCCACTTTCCCCAGCATCATTCCCTTCTCCAGGCTTGGCTGTCTCCTCATGATGTGGCATTCAAAGGACTTCCGCTTTTCCCTCTAGTCTCCTTCCCTCCAGTGAGCAGTCGGGCTTTCTTTCCTGGAGGATGGACTGGTTGGATCTTCTCGCAGTCCAAGGCACTCTCAGCACTTTCCTCCAACACCACAGCTCAAAAGCATCTCTCTTCCTTCGCTCAGCCTTCCCTAAGGTCCAGCTCTCACATCCGTAGGTGACTACAGGGAAGACCATGGCTTTGACTAGGCAATGGATCTTGGTTGCCAGTCTGATGTCTCTACTCTTTACTATTTTATCGAGAATGGACATTGCTCTCCTCCCAAGAAGGAAGCGTCTTCTGATTTCCTGGCCACAGTCTGCATCTGCAGTAATCTTTGCACCTAGAAATACAAAGTCTGTCACGGCCTCCACGTTTTCTCCCTCTATTTCCCAGTTGTCAATCATTCTTGTTGCCATAATCTTGGTTTTTTTGATGTTTAGCTGCAACCCGGCTTTTGCGCTTTCTCTTTCACCTTGATTAGAAGGCTCCTCAGCTTCTCCTCGCTTTCGGCCATCAGAGTGGTGTCATCTGCATATCTGAGGTTGTTAATGTTTCTTCCAGCAATTTTCACCCCAGCTTTGCATTCATCCAGCCCCGCACATCTGCATGATGTGTTCTGCATACAAGTTAAAAAGGTTGGGTGAGAGGATGCAGCCTTGCCGGACGCCTTTCCCAATCTTGAACCCAGTCTCCTGTTCCGTGGTCAGTTCTGACTGTTGCTCCTTGGTCCTTGTACAGATCCCTCAGGAGAGAGGGAAGGTGGCTTGGGATGCCCATCCCACCAAGAACTTGCCACAATTTATTATGATCCACACAGTCAAAGGCTTTAGAATAGTCAATGAAGCAGAATAGATGTTTTTCTGAAACTCCCTGCCTTTCTCCATTATCCAGCGGATATTGACAATCTGGTCTCTCGTTCCTCTGCCTTTTCTAAACTTCTACTTAAAAAAATTCTGAACCAAGTATTGATGAAAGGGAGTTTGTATGGAAAAGTGGCAAAAAGCTTTGCTGTTGTCATCCAGGCAGTCCCCGAGTTACAAACATCTGACTTGGAAAGAACTCATAGTTACGAACAGGGGTGAGACAACAGGAAGTGAGAGAAATCTACCCCTAACAAGAGAAAAATCACTCCCGAAAGAGTTATTATCATGAGGAAAAGGGTTCTCCACTGAAGTTTTATCACCAGTTCTTGCGTCCACAGCAAGCCAAGTTTTTCAAAATTGAGTTATCAGGGTCAGAAAGTAAGGTGAAATCTTCTGAGCAGGGGCACAGACATCAAAATAAATACCACAGGGGTGTTAACCCTTCCCTATGCTATCCAAAGCTTATATATCTATATCTAGATGTGGATATAGATATAGGTATGGCTGGAGTTACACTTAAAATGTACCTGATCCAACTTACAAACAAACCTATCTTATTTGTAACTTGGGAACGGCCTGTATTGTAAAAGAAAAATATTGATAGAAGGCTGAAACAGGCAAATAGAATTGTAAACATTTAGACTCTCTAAAAATGTCAGATCCAAATAATTAAAGCAATAGACGCCTTCAAAAAAAATCAAAGCCAGTCATAAGGAATTAGATGGGAGTCGAAAGATCTGTGCCAAGCAAATGTTTTTCATTTGCATGGCACAGATCTTTCCACTCCTGTCTGTATTTTTAAATGAATCCCATTGTTTGGAATTTGAAGACAATGTAATTAAATGATATGGGAAAGGCATCAAAGTTGTACAACCCTCATCCATCAATGTAAACAAAACCCACAAGCCAAATTCTGCCAAATCCAATGGAGGCAACGGAAAGCAAAATTAATTGTATTGGAAAAGAGCATTGAGAAGTTTCTGCAGTAA